TACGGCTATGTTATTGTTCAGTCGGTTGTATCTCAGAAAACTTCAAGTCTTCTTCTTGGGTGCAGCCTTGGCGAAGAAAGAGCTCATTTTCTGCATCCCGCTCGTGTTGACCTTCTTCAGGTTTTTAACTGCTTGGGATTGCGAAGCCTTGGTCTTTTTATCCTCCTCCTCCTTGCGGCGTTTCTTCTCGGCCCGAATATCCCCTTCCTCGTCGTCAAGGCCTCGTTTCCGACTGAAGTTGGATATGTCGCGTGATGCGAGAGCTTGAGCACGAAGGTCTGCAATCTCCTTGAGACGGTCATTCAGCGGCTTGAAATCGATCGGGCTCTCTGCGGAAGCAAGGATCTCATCTAGTCTCGAAGCCATGGTGGCGGGCAGATATGACTCCTTCATGAAGGACAGTGCAGTGGAAATTCGGAGGAGCCGAGTAATGTGATCCGAAGTTGTCGACTCTTCACACGGTGGCTGTGGCACGGGTGTCGATTCTCCTGCAGGTGTCGCAACCGACGGGGTCGCAGTTGTAGCCACAGTCGAGGGTGAATCATCCCTCTCCTCAGATTTCGAGGCCGATTCCTGGCTCTCGTTCGATGGGTCCTGGCTTGTCGCGACATCTTCTCGTTTTACCGACATCAAGGGCGTGGCTAGCGCCTGACGAACAAAACATTCTTCAAGACTCACAGGAAGGCCCCGGTCTGCTATGCGTTCTGCCTTTGTGATCAACTCCTGAAAAAGCTTGGTCTCATTGAACCGGAACATCTTCTCATCACCAGCCTCGACCACTTCACAGATAGCTTCCGCCCGCGCTAGGAGCGAGCCCCGGAATTCCTCATCATAAAGAACTTGGCGCAGATGCTTGGGCATATCGTCTTGGGAGTCGATGATATCGTCGAATGGCTGGAAAAGAGAGCGGCCTGATTTCGCAGAAGGTGCTAACAGTGGGACTATGAAAAACAGCGCATCTATGGGGGTTGCCACCAGGAACTCTGCTGTCTTCGTAATTGAGCCCTGCATCGAGGGCTCGGGGTCCTTTTTCCCTTCCTCCGACGGGCTCGGAGTTTTGCGCGTGCCAGGAGCGAACAGAATACTGCGCGCCATATGCGATGGCGGTGCAACAACGGTAAATTCGTATATACCGCGATTCGGGCAAAAGAAGTAACGTGTTAGCTCTCCCGATCGGGGATCTGGCAGGGAGAGAAGTCGCGCATTGTCGCTGGTAGCGGATGGGAGGATGAATGTTCTGCTCGGTTTCTCTGCCGCAATGAGGGTTTTGGTCTTAGTCTCGTCTTCGGACTTCCCCGATTTAGATGCTGGGGCTGATCGGGTCTTCATTGTGTGAGATAGGTGGAAGTGAAGGTGAAGACCAGAAGGTTGGAAACGGAAGGGGCTAAAATGGCAAGGGCAACCGCGACGCGAACGCGCCTTCCCGACCCAATCAGCCCGGTGATCCGTCACTTTCCCTCTGCATTAGCGAGTTTCAGCCCGGTTTTGTCCTCTCTTTGTTATCATTTTGACCCCTTCCCACGCATTCTACATTCTGTACTCTGCATTCTGCGCAAGGGCAAAGGGCGTGGGCGGCAAATGACGCTCCATGGTATATTCAGTCTCTGATTACGCCTGAATCGTCTCATTAACTCGCCAGTGAGGTCCCTCCAATGACTTCGGCTGATTCGATTGCTAACTATTCTCCACCGCCAAAGTGGTTGAACCTGTGTGGCCGCCCCAATCGCCCCGCGCGGCTCTCTTGAGTTCGCCGGCTGGACGACGAAAGTACCAAGACATGCAACGCAATCGAGAGAATCTAACATCGCCATTGAAGCGCTCAAATACCACACCCAATATCCGATCAAAAGCAAGTCAAATTCTGGATGAAGATGATGGGGAAGAGGAGGACGAAGAAACCCTACAGCTTCAGCTGGCCGAGATCAAAGCACGCTTGAAGTTGAAGAAACTCCAGCAAAAGAATCGCGGAAGATCTAGTTCGAATCTTGACGACGAAGATGTTCGACCAAATTCCGCAATTAGCGCTCTACGAACGGAAGACCGCGGTGCAACACCAAGAATCACCAATGGAGGGAGGCAGAGAACGAGCAGCGATGGAATCCAGGTTCCGGCATCACCTACCAAGCGAGAAGTTCCTGTCGCCGACCCAATATCTCCTCGGAGATATGTCATGGGCATTGATAAGGGCTGGAAGGCCAATGATGTATCCTTGAAACGACCTCCAAGCTCAAGACCCGGCCCTCGACCAAGTAGTCATATGGGATTTCGAGACGGTGCTACACCGCGCTCCAATGACATATTCTCCTCGCGGCCCCAGACCTCTCCTTCATCGACCGGAGGGATCAACCGAATAAAAAGTTTCAGCGAGAGAATGGCGGAAGGCAGAGCGGCTGAGAAATCTCGGCTGGAGAGAGCAGAAAGGGTCCAGGCTAACCGCAGTTCGGCGTTTCAAGTTGATAAGTCGGAGCTAGAGGCCTTCAAAGCTGCAGCATCGGATACTAAGCATTCCCAACCACCGTCGTTCTCTCGAGAGCGGCCTACAGAAAGCTTCAGTCGGGAGGATATTCTTCGATCTATGGGGCAATCCCGCCCATCCAGTTTACAACGCAGTAATACAACCCCAACCGTTCGACGGACCGAGGGCGGCGGTCACAACGAGAGACAATCTCACCTACATAGGCGAACTCATACGGCAGAAGAAGAACCAAGTTCCTCTCACAAACTAGGCCAAACAGATGATGCTTTGGCGATGGCCCCGGATTCTTCAAAATTTGAGTCCTACTCGTCGCTACATCTATCAAGCCGAGTTCTCCCGCATTCTTTCTTGAGCCGCACACTCGCAGAAAAGAAAATTCTGCGCATTCCTGATTTACTCAAAACCGTCAAGGCACCCGCATTCGAGCTGCCAGAGGACATTGATGGGGACTTTGTAGTATTTGGCATCGTTGCGTCCAAGTCCGACCCCAAGGACAAGAAAGTTTTGGGGAACGCGTCGGCTAAAGATAAGGACCCTTATGATGATGGGCTTAATAACACGAACAGATATATGGCTATTACCCTGACGGATCTGAAATGGACTATTGACCTCTTCCTTTTTGACACTGCTTTCCCCCGTTATTACAAAATCTCGGAAGGGACTCTTGTCGCAATTCTGAACCCCACAATCATGCCTCCACCAAAACACAAGCTGGACACAAACAGATTCAGCTTGTCCTTATCTTCATCAGACGACAAGGTCCTCGAAATTGGCAAGGCACGGGATATCGGGTTCTGCAAGTCTGTGAGGAAAGACGGAAAGACCTGCCAATCCTGGATAGATGGCCGAAAAACCGAGTTCTGTGACTTCCACGTTGATATACAGATCCGACGCACTCAGGGCCAACGCTCGGGAGTCAATGCTGACACCGGTATGCTTGGTCCTGGTGGTAAATCCGGCTCGCGGACCGGATTGTTTGGGGAAGGAGTGAGGCGAGGGAATGCTTTCAAGCAAGGCATGAAACACGATGGCCCTCAGTATGACATGGGATCTCAATCGCTCTACTACGTGGCGCCCTCCAGAAACCGCGGTGGTGGCCGTTCGTCCTACAACCCCATGGGAGGCTCGGCGGCAACCCTTATTGATGCGCATGACGATCCCTTCATCGCCTCAGGTATGATGGGCCGCGGTATGGACAACAAGGAGGAACGAATACGCAGGCGTCTTGCGACCCAACAACGAGAACGTGACATCAAAAAGCTAGTTTCCGGCCGTGTCGGCGGCGTGGGCGCTGAGTACCTTCGCACGAGGACCGGCAATGAGAGCCCAAACAAGGAATCAGCACCAGGAACCCCCTTGCCCAAGAGCCCCACGACAACCAACGGCATGGATATGACCACCTTTGGCAAAGCCAAGAACGTCCGTTTAAGTCCAATGAAGCGTGCCCATGACAAGCCCCACGGCAGTGGGGTCAAGAAGACGCGATTCATCACTTCAAGGGGCATCAGGGAGGCTGGCCGGGAGAGCCTCGGTGCGCCGGCTGAAACCACGCCCAGTGGGAAACAGGCACTCTTGGATGATGACGATGATGATGATTTGGAGTTCGTTTGACGCATTCAAACGCCAGTATCCATCCTGTCACCACGTGAACCTTTGAGTCGCCGTTGAGGATAGGAATACCCATAACGCTATAACGAATACAAAGCATGTTCTGGTTGCATTGGGCGGATTTCCTTTTTTTGTTTGATTTGTTGAGGAGTACAGCTAGATACAACCCTTGTCATGAATCGATGTCACGATTAATGTATTTGTACCTCCATTATGAAAGCTTCCTCTCCTTGTCTACATGTACAAGTACATGGTTTCCTGCCCGGACTTGTCTCGGTGATTAGCCCGGCTACTGCCGAAAGCTTGTTTTGACTACACCAAATGCACCAACTAACAGCGATACAAACATGCTTCCTCAACAGAGAAATGAGCTTTTGTATGGACGGAATATCAGCCAGCTACAGGGAAGGATTCTCCAAATATCTGAATTTCCATTGGGCTGTTCGATTTACCATAATTCCTCCCGTGAGGACCAATGAACCGCTTTCCCGCGATGAATAAAACAGCAAAAGAATGCGCCGGTACGAAAAGGAAAAATCAAAAGAAAACTCGAAAGGAAGAGAGAAAGAAACAAAAGTGCAGATGAAAAGAAAAGAGAAAACGCCGCTATTCCGGCCGAATATGTTTTCCTGAGGTATCCTTAGTATTCGCGATTCCCACGATTCCCAAACCCGCGCGCGCCATTGGAACGAAAGACGCAAAGAACGAGACAAACCCCTGTGACCTGCGCAAATACAAGACGGCCATCGTGGGTACAAAGAAAGGCATCATGAGAATAAAGAAGGAAACGCCGGCAAAAAGAAAAGGATGCGCTTAGCGCCAAGTCCGGCCAACGCACAAATGGAAGAAAGGTGAAAATTCAAAGCGCTGGAAGAATGCGAATTGGAAGTGAGAAAATTTGATGCCTGAATGAGACCTAGGAATCGGATGTAGATGGCTCGGCGGTCGAAGTCGCTCCAGAAGCTTCTGCGCGCAGGGCCTTTCGGGTGCGCGGGGCAGGGCTACCGCGGGCCTCCTGGAGGCGTTTCATACGGTCGGTGCGGGTTTCGGGATCCCGCGTCTTCCTGCTGACAGACGGCCAGTACTTCAGGAGGCTGCTGCCACTGCTGATAGAGAGACCCCGGGACCGACTCCGGTCCTCGCCGGAAGCGCCGAGGGTGAGGTCTTCAGAGAAAGAAGTGGGCTGGACAGGTGACACATCAACGGCAGAGCGAGGAAAACGGAGGCCAGTAAGTGGAACGGGGGCAGACTGAGCGACAGGTGTGCCCTCAGATTCAAATAGATCCGGAAAGATGGGAGGAGTCACACATGCGCGGTCTTCATAAGCTGGAGTTGGAGACGTTGGCTCGTGATCCTCGACATCGGTGACATCCTCCTCGTCACCATCAGTAGGCTTAGCGACATTAGAGAATAGAAGACGAGGTTTGATGTCACCATGTCTCAAAGGTTTCACGCTCTTGAGAATGTCAGGGTTAGCAGCCAACAGGTCGGGGCGGCTGGCGAAAAGGCCAAGGTCATCTTCATCCTCGCCCTCATCTTCCATGTCATCAAAGCGTTTGAATATTTTTTTTCCACGGCTAAGATACAAGTTAGGATATGTGAGTATGGTTAATAAGTGAGGTATGACTTACTGGACAAACCAGGCTCCATCTTTTTGGTTGGTAGTTGAGCGAGTGGCAGGTCGTCCGACCGGTCTTCCAGGGTTGTAAATGAACGAATCAGTCGAGAGAGGACCGATCACAGGGATGCGATCACGTGAGTCCTCATGAATGGAGATGCCCAATTCTTGCTCTGCAGCTTGAATAGTGTACCCTCTCAAAGGCTCATCCACAAAATTTGCTGGGGGTTCTGCAGAATATTTGGGGGTATCCATTTTTCTGCGTTTGGTGGTGGAAGTGGAAGGAAACAGAGAACGAGATGTAGAAGAATCAGAATTGATTATCTTCTTCTTCGAAGGAGTTTTAGCTGGGGTAGGTAAAGCCTGTTCTGCAGAGGGTCGGGAGGTGTGGTGTGCAGAAGTGCGGGGAAGTGAAAGTTCAGAATCAAAGGGAGAGATCCGGGAGGCAGCATTTCTCTGAGAGCGTGCGGCCTTTTTGGGCGAGGATTTGGCGGTCCCAGGCGAAGAGGGCGAAAGCGTTCTTTTAGATGCTCCAGGGTTGGCAGATACGCTTGGGTGACCTGGGGGCGGCGTGGTTTGGGCGACCCTTGACACTCGTTGACTTGCGAGTCTAGCGGAGTAACGCGTAGGATAAGGTTCATAGTTGTCGTGCTTTGGCCCATGTTGCGGCGCTCTTGGTACGCGAAGCGCAGACGGTGATGGCGGCGGTGGTGTTGAGGCCATGTTGACTTGAATAACGATTGAATAACCGCTCGATGGTTTGCGATATTTTTAGTAAAGATATAAATAGTCTATTAGTCGCAGTTTATGCCCGGGCTTTTTCTGAAGTTCGCGATCTTGATGAAGTGTCGAGAAGGAGCGTCGATTCAATCAAGGGCGTACCACGTCCGACTTGTGAGATGTCCGGCCAAAACCAGAGAAGCACTCGGAGATATGAAAGCCCAAAAATGGTATGAGAAGTAAGCTTGCAAATAGCCAATTGTCCGAGGCGACGAAAGCAAAAAACGATAAGTTGGGGATGAAGGAAGGGTGAAGTTGTTGTGAAAGCCGATTTGTCGCCCAGCCACCCGGCTATCTCACCGCCCGATAATTACGGTGGCTGAAACCCCCGCGTCAACAATGTTGATTTCCTATTTCGATCTACTCCACCGTTCAAACGTTGATCCTGTCGCTCATCACTTGTCAATTGACTTTCGAATACTTCACAAGGCCAATTATTCAAGGACCAGACTCATTTGGGCGTTCAGTCTGTCAAGATTGTTTGTACATACTTTGACTCCTACTTACTCTGCAGGCTCAACATCATGGCTTTCCGCACGACGGCGGAAGAAATGGAGAGGCTTCAACTATCCGATGACGACACAGATGACCTCTGGAACTCCCCATCTAAGAGAGTGACCCACAAAAAGATAAACCCAAGAGCCTCCGACGAGAAACCTACGCCAGAACCTCGAGCTTCCCATGATGACGAGGATCCTCTCTTCGATGAACAGGAGGCCCGGGAGGCTGCTCTCCGGACAGAATTACAAGGTGTGCGGAATATCAACGAAGTGATAGAAGGACTTCTGGGAAGTTTAGACTCCGCCAAAGGAAACATGGAGGTAAGATGTCCTTCTCATAATGCACGGTCGATACTCTGGCTAATTATCTTTATAGACAGTTTCACAAACTGTTACTTCGGCCTCGACACTCCTCAACACGTGGACTCGCATTCTCTCCCAAACCGAACATAATCAGCGATTGATCCTCAACCCCAACTGGCAAGGCGCTACTCAGGATGTGATCGACATCGAGAACCAAGCGATTCAACGACAGCAAGCGGCAGAAAGACGTGAACAAGCACTTCAACAACAAAGAGAAGCAGCAGCGCGAAAAGCCGAAGAAATTGAAAAGCGACGTGCACAGGTCACTCGGGGTACTCGAGGCACGCGCGGAACTACGAGGGGCACAGTTCGAAGCATTGGCTTGGGAAGGACGCCGAGTGTCAGCACAACCCGCACGGCAACACGGGGGTCTACGACAACCCAACGGCCAGCCAGTGGGATAGCACGAGGAAGTGGAATTTCTCGCGGTCGGGGGAAGGTCTAGGTGGGCTGGGCTAGTTTATGTACAATAAGTCTTTGACTATGAAGATAAAACAGAATGATAACTATGATACCCTTACTTTGATATCTTGTTGCCTGAGGCATCATACGGGCAGTTACACGCGTCGCGATCTGATAACGATAAGGAGATGCTACCCCAAATTATTCCCCTGATCTCCGGAGATTATTCCGTCATTCACCTTTCCAGGTACGACAACGTAATGAATTTCGCCCCCTATCAAGATCAATCACCGGAGATTGAGCGCGCCCTATCCCCTCCCCACCCGGATGGCCACCGAATATCCCCAGTCCTGCGCTCACCGCGAGCCTCGGCCGACCTACCCTCCCCTAGTCACTTTGCTAGCGGCGGACATGGCAACACAGGCTTTGGGCGAGATGTCGAGGGTGGCCATGTGAGCTTAGGGGCTTTTGAAACGAGTCTTCCTATTCGCATGGATATAGAAGCAGCACTAGCGTATCTGCTTCTGCCTCCTGCCGGGGGTGTATTCCTGCTACTAGCTGAACACAAGAGCGACTATGTGCGGTATGTGATAGTCTTTACTGTGGGGTCACTTAAAAGTACAGCTCACTGATTATTTCCTATAGATTTCATGCTTGGCAATCGAGCATGTTATTTGCTACCATGTTTGTGAGTATTCCATCTTTCCTATTGTTGCATGCGCTCATATGCCAAATATAGATCATCCATCTACTGTTCTGCTGGTCGAGCTTTCTCTCTTGGACATTTTTTATTATTGATATTGCTTTAATCGGCTTCCTCAGCATGCATGCTTACCAAGATGGTGAGTCTCCCGAGGTTTCTTGAGGTCCACAGGAGCTGCCAACATGGCTGAGCTGTCCATCGGCATGAAAGATAGACCTGATACTAATCACATTATCTATAGTTGATACTTTGGACCACTTCGAGGTCCCATTTTTTGGCCGTCTGGCTAACTCCTTTGTTGATGATGAGTGAACATGAACCTTGTTAATTGCACGTACTCGAGTTATTACTGCGAGGAAAGACGTCTTTTTTTTTCATATACCCCTGTCTGTCAATACTTGCTAGCTTCTTTCTTTGATTGTTGGACAGGCTGTGCGTGGATGAATAATTCTTTTTTGTTTACAACTCTAAATTTTATAATTTCTAATCATCTTATCCAGCTGAAGCCAATATTCGCAAAATCCCAACAGGGATGAATATAGCGACTATACTATTCATCGGCAATTAGCTCGGAGCAACCAATCATCTCCAAAGGGATTGTATACCAATTGTCCCGCTCCAGATAACCATAGAGCCATTGCTTCCCCTGAGATTCGTGTGGCAGATCAATTATCTATTGACCATAAGGAGGAACGGCGGTCGGACTTTGAGTGGCATGAGTCGGTTTAGGGGAAGGGCCCATGTACTGCAGCCCCACAACGGAAGGACTTTGCGGCTCTGTATGATCACGGCGAGTCAGTTTCAATATCATAGCATCCTGCTGGTTTTTAAGGGCTGGCATAGGTCTTACCACGGCCTTCTGTTCTGACTTTCTTCGGGCTTAATGTGTCCAAAAATGATTTTGCTTTCAATCTCGTTGTATTGAGAGCTGCATTTGCCCAGGTGTAGCAGTTCTTGATCCAGCAGCCAACTATAATAAATGCACCATTCCTGTCAGAATAATAGTAGTTTTAGCATCAGGTTGTCCATCATGTTGCTTTTTTGTAAGATTATCATGTTCACATTTTCGGTGGTCATACATACTGATTCAAGACGCCGCATATAACCATGACCATCAGTATAACAAGGAGTGCTAGTAAAATTACCCCTAAATATCCGGCAGCCACATCAGCTGGCGTTTCTGATTTTGAATCAGACTTGTCATTAGAAATAGGAGCCATCCTTGGCAAATATAAAGATATCAGTGGAAGTGAGGTAGAGAGTGTGCGTCTTAGGGCTTGTCGAGGCTAAATTTATACACTCGACGCCAGGTCTGCGTCAGCATGACCAGTAGACCTATGTACATAAGTATCGGTAAGTCCTGTCACAATTGTGATCAACAGATGTTAAGGGTCATATTATTGGCACAGAGTCCTAGAAATAAAGAGTGCTGATTGACAAATCATCCAAATCTACCTAGGTACCTGGGCGCCTAGCTTCATATGACTTTGATCACCAAGGGTACTGTTACGGAGCTGACCTTCAGTACTCACTTCGCAGTCAAAGATAGCTACTAGTGTACTCTTAACAGCTCGATGCTTAGTTTGAGTTTTCATATGTATAGAGCGATCACGATAGCATCACATTCGGTGTAGCATCAAACTAGAAAAGCCAAGATAGAAAAGCTAAGCCATGCACTATAAAAATAATACACCATTGTCCTTGGCCCATTCTTATCCCCTCCCACTCTTCCAGACTAAATCACAGTTCTCCTAACGTTTGTAGACAGGCAAGGGCTCCTCGGGATAGCTGTAGTCGTACTCTGGCGGACCTTCTGGGCTAGCAGATCTCATATATTCCCTCCTGATAACTCCCATCTCGATGGACTCTGGATAAGGACATACTAATTAATAACTTGAAAGTACTTAGTCTGGATGGGTCCAGCTTACCAGGTGTGGTTTGCTGCTCGTTGGCTGTACCCTGAGGCGGTGTTTTTCGACATAGCTTTCTGAACCCTCGTATTATTTGCCGTGGATTCTTATAAATAGTATCAATAAGCCTGGATTTCAAGGCCTAGTTAGCGTCTCTCTTTAATAGAACTGGTGGATTTGATGCCGATAGAAAGAGGTATCATTAGTTAGGTATCGCTCACGACTTACCAAGCTTTTCCCTCGCCCGAACAAATATCCCAACAGATACAGCGCGCGCATCTTGTAATAAGGAACAATATTACCACAAGAATCGCAGGGCCCCAAAAGATGGAGAATAGTACCCAAAACACCAGGTCATCTGAGGAATCCTCTGAGCGAGTACGCAAATCAGCGCCTCCATTGCTCTGTGGCGTCTGCATAATCAGGTGGGCAATCGAAGGCATCGTTGACACTCTTCTTTGTGATGAAAATAGTTGAAAAATGTGTTGTTCACATCAGCGATAGTGGGCGTAATTATTGTAATTATCTTTGGTCTCCGTTACCCGAAGGGGTTAGGTACATACATGTAGTTTAGAGGTACATTTTAAGAATAGGCATCTAAGTTCACATCTACCAAGAACATTTACTTCTCCTTATTAAAGAAAACGACTTGCACAGTAATATCATCCCGTATCCGTCGAGAGAAAGGAGGGCCAAAGGCAAGCCGGCCTGCTATCAACTCGTGGTGATTTCCACCAAGGGAGTTGCGCAAGAGATGTACTGCAGCATTGTCATCTTGGGTTGTTGTTCTCTCTTCCTCAAACTTCCAGTTCACATCTTTCCAGAATCTGCCAAAGTCAAATTCTCGATCTGTTGGCTCTGGTTTGCTCTTTTTCTCCGCCGCCCCTTGTGGTTCCAACCAGTTCCCTACTAAGTCGACACCCTGCTTATTGGAGAGATAATCCCATAACCCATCCGTTGCCATAATCAAGAACGAGGGTTTGTTAGGATCGATCTTAGTGCTTATCACAACCGGCTCGGCAGTCAAGTATGGGGGTGTGCGAACATCGTATCGTGGCGTTAGGGGTGCTGGACCATTGAATTTCCGCTTCATTTCCTTCTGCAAATCCAGAGGCCACTTCCACAGACTGTCACCAAACGCTCGTGAGACCATAAGCCCAAGCACCCGTCCTCCTTTGGCTATGTTTTCCTCGCCAGGGTGCTCCTTAGAAATGCGGGTGATCTCTTCTTCGTTGCTGCCAGTTTGGTCGATTGACAAGGGAATTGCTTCCCACTTGCCGTCTAGTCCTTTCTGTCCTAGAACCGCTCTCGAGTCGCCGGTACACGCAACGTGCAGCGTGCTTGTGATAGGATCATATAAAGATAACAACGCGCATGAACCAGCGTAAGCAGGAGCCAGTTTCTTAATCTTGTCTTGGAATGATTCTTTGCTCTTAGATGTGTCCCGTGCTGTCTTGATGATGGAGTCATCGAGGTCAACGAATCCTTTTATGATAGCTCGCTGGATAGACTCGTCGTCTGAAAATGGTTTAGCTTCGGACAATCTGCGCCACACAAAAGGCAGGAGTTGCTTCGTCAACAGATCCGCCGTCTGCCAACCTGAATGTCCATCAAAAACAGCCCAGGAGATCCACTGATCATCATTCCACGGTGAAGAAAGTTTGCCATGAATAAACCGGTCCTCGCACGGGCTATTGGAAGCCAATTGAGCGCCATCGTATCTTTGGACGCCCGTAATGTCTGTGACCTGGAAGGAGTACGCTTCTTTCGATATCATACGCGTGACATCCTCTTTGGAGGGGCCTGGCTCAGGGGCCAAGTGCTCTGCTGGTGGACTCTCGAGCCGGGGCACCTCATCCCTTGTAGCGGTCAACCACCACATGCCGGGCATGCTGACCAAACCGGCTGTCGCGATGTAAATTTTCCAGTTTGAAGACAAGTTCTTCGTTGAGATGGGACGTTTGCTATGTGCTCGTGCGATGGACGTGGTCACGCGCCCTAGACGCGGTCGCGCGAGACATGACAACATGGTTGGTGGTTTGTAGCTGGGAAGAAGATAAAGCTACTCCGTACATAGAGAGAACCTGGAAGTCACTTGAAGATTGCGCCAGCTTTCGTCAAGGCGGTAAGATCACGAGACTCATTGCTGTATTTCTTCGTCAATTGATATTGGTAGTACTTTGCAGAAATCAAATCACTAATACAAATTCAAGGTAATTTAACTGTTTTAGTGGTAATCCAATATATGGGATATCATTCTAGCTCGTACTGCTACCCTTCGAGTGCCCATTCCCGGGATGCTATACCTCTGCTCAAATATCCCGCTCCCATTACATTGATCACAAGATCCTTCTTATACCTCACAGATATCTGCCGCCGGATGTAATGGAACAAGTCGTTCTTCTGCGGCAAACCTTCATAGAGGATTCCTACAGAGAAAATTTTCCCCGGACTTCGCCAGAAGAAAGTCGGCTCTAGCTGGGAGGACACCCTTTGCTAGCAGAAGTTTCGCAATCTCAAAGTGGTCGTAAAATATGGCGAACCCTATGGTGCCAAAAGATTTCAAGCTTGAGTTGCGATAAAACAATTCCCATGATAGATGTGGGTTCGCTCCCTTCTCAATCAGCGATTCTACCGTCTCATGATTCCCGTACACGATTGCCATGAACAATGCCTGTAAGCTGAAAACATATACCTCTAGGGCATTGTATTTGACCAAAATTTCATAGTGGTCCTTGTCGTTTCGGCGTACTATATGGCATAGTGCTCTGTCAGAAACAAGCTGCACACCTTGCTTCAGTAGAAGTTCGACGACTTGTCGCTGATTGGTATAGATGGCATTCACGGGTTTTCCAAATAGCCTTGTTGCACCCCCTCCAGACAGGGGATTACAAAGTTATAACCGGAGGCAACCGCAGCATCTAGGGCGGAGAACGTCCTATATCCAGCTGGGTCTAAGGGGGCCTTATAATTGATCATCAACTCGACAATCTCGTGATTATGGGAGTAGATAGCCCAGTGAAGAACTGTACGTCGCTGGGCTGGCGAACAGGCTTGGCCAGACCGTGTCTCCGAGAGCATAGTTTGACGGTGAGCATATGTCTTCCCTGAGCGGCAAATAGCAATGGGTTTTGGATTCCAACTGTCTCTGATATACTCCCAAACCAGCTATACTTGCACCGGTGTCGAGTAGTATAACCGCCAGATCAGTATATCCGTTCCTGGCGGCCCAAAGTAAGGCTGAGGTTTATGTTGCGTTGGCATAAGAAGACCTGAAGACGGCTGTATAAATTCCGGTTGGTTTGCACAAGAGACTTGATATATTTTCGTTCGTCAAGTCCTCCGCAACGAGAAGAAGCAATTTGGAAGGCAGTTGGTCTAAACGAGCCAAATTGCTTTTTCAATGTCCAGTTGAAGACGAAGGGAGTGGAGTAGAGGCGGCGATCTTGATCTAGTGCAGGACCTGCAAGATGTCAGAAAATTGGTGCTAGCCCGTCTAGCGTATAGAGCTCAGAGGTGATCAGAGAAAAACAACCCACAGAAAGAAGGTAGATGAGGGAGCTACAGTCGCCTTGCGCTAATTGTGGCCTAAGGTCTCTGAACACTGTGAGCCGATTCCAAAGTGGACATAGGACCCTTGGAACGTACCCGGACCTATAAAACTAAAATTAAAGCTTATCACCTCCAATAGAAGCTCTGGTAGGTCAGATATAGAGCCCTGGAGCCTACCTAGGTACTATTGTGATATGTCTACTGCTTACGTACGTCATGGGAAATACATTGTAGAAATGAGAGCATCAATTAGAACAAAGCACGTCGTATCCGCCATAACATTTGGATGAGGGTCCAAAAAGGGGGAGCAAAAGAAATCACGAAGAACGGAGCAAAGAAGGGGGAATAAGGAAATGGAAAGACCACGAAATGCCAAGCTCTTCCAGGCGCGAGATTGGTCATCATACAATTTCGTTCGAACAGATCTCTGTCGAGAGAAGGGGAGGATAAAAAGAAAAGAAAAGAATTCAACAAATTCACACAAAGCACATAGTAGAAATTCCCAGAACACACACGCTAAAATTTCCAAAAACATCCGCGAGAACAGAATAATAAGATTAAAGAGGCTGCTCAACAATGAGACGGGACCGTAGCATCATGTTCAGAATGAAAGAAAAATCGAAGTAGAGTTAGAAAGAAATCGTCAATGTGCAAAGAAAGTCGACGAAAGGAATGGTATCTACGTGAGAACATGAGGAAGAGCACGTCAGGACGAAGGTTCTGAGGGTCGTGACGGGTCGTGAGATCGATGTGTTATTAGATGATTTGCAAATAGTTGCTTGGAACGAGACCAGGGTGGCCACGGGCGTTGGTGACTTCGGCCTCCCACCATCCGTCATCCTGCAGGCGAATAACGGCAAGGACATCGCCCTTGCCAAAGCTGAGCTCTTCAGGGATTGCGGCATTGTAGGTGTACATGGCACGAGCTGTGAGATTGAAATCAAGTTAGATACTAAGAACGCATTGGAGGGATGACAAATAAATGCTTACCGAAATGCAAGATTGGTCGGCCATCACGGCTAAATTTGCGTCCAGGCTCTGCAACAGCCATAGTACGGCTCCGGGATCGGCCAATAGGCGGACCGTCACCATAAGTCGATGAGGGGCGGCTGCTTCCTCGAACCGAGCCAGCGTACCCACTCGGACTGCCGGAGCCGTACATATCGTGGGTTCCAGACAACTGCAGCTCCATGCCACCGGCACTAGAAGGACGAGCTTGCTGCCTGAACTGGGGCTGCGGGGATACAGCACGGTGGCTCACAGCGGGCGACGCCCTCCGAGCAAAATCGTTCGGAGAGTAGGGTGGATCTTGAGTACGACGCGGAGTAGGCGATTGGCTGTATTGACTTCGCACGCTGTTAGACTGATAGCTACTCGGACTAGGGCTCGGAACCCTGCCACTGTTCTGGCTCATCCGAGTATCCACACGGGGAGAAGCGACCTGAGGGCTGACGCTCCGTCTCGGTGCTGGTGCTGGTGATCTAGCTCGGGGGGCTTCTTGGGGTTGACCGCTATGCCTGGACCCCATGCTGTTGCTTTGTCCTCGAAGCATGCTCTGGGTTTGACCAGTATACTGCTGAGTTGTCTTGTGCATTTGCTTCGCTGTGAAGGCCGGTTGAGGTGCGCCAAGTCGCTTGACTGTGGGATCATTGTATGCTGGTGGTGGAGCAGCAACACTAGCATTGCTGCCACCATAGGCAGAAGAATGTGCCGACGGAGTGGGTGTGGAGATGCCATGATATCTATCTGCTGACACACGAGTCGCTGACTGTTTCCCGCTTGTCTTAAGATCTGCTAGAGCCCGCGCGATAGGGTCCAAGTCATCTTCAGATGTCTGCTTCGTCTGTGATCCCTTCTGGGTTGAGCTCTTTTCTGGGGACGCAACGTCAAAGACATTATTGCCGACATTGAGCTGGAAGTTGGCTCGAGGATCAACAGGCTCCGGGCTGCCAGAGACACGGCCCGGGGGGCCTGCCGAAGGCCTGACTGGACTGACATTTTTGGTTGGGCTACCCTGGTTGGGTGGACTAACTTGCTTGGGCGGGCTCACTTGCTTGGGTGGGCTCACTTGCTTAGGTGGGCTCACTTGCTTGGACGGGCTGATAACTTGTTTGGGCGGGCTCATTTGTTTCGTAGGACTGATTTGTTTCGTTGGCGAGTCCCAACCACTGCGAGACGCGGATTGGGGTGAAACAGCGGGCTGCGAAGAGGTGGCTTGCTGCGAAGAAATAACAGGCCTTTCTTTGTCGTGGCGACTCTTGCGCCGGAAGGGGCTGTTGCTAAAGAAAGCGCTCTTCTTTTTCGGTGACTTGTCATCTCCGGAAATTGGCATCGGTGCGCTGTTCGCTGGCTTTATTACAGACTTCTTGGTAGGGGTTTCCTCAACACTGGAGATAGAGGTTGGGTTGGAAACTTCGCTCTGAGAGTCACGGCTAGACGGGCGATATGCGCTGGTCGCTGAGCTTCGCTCTGAGGGTGGTCCGGCACGACAGAACATGGTCATACCATCCGTGGGGTACGCGTTGTGGGGAACAGCTCCAATCTCTCCATGTTGCTCGGGATCATAGTTCGGAGGCGGCGCACCACCACGGCGGAAGTCTAGAGGTGCGGGTTGCTGGGGTTGTGGCTGTAGCGGTGGTTGCTGTTGCAGGGGAGGCTGTTGATGCATGAAGGGCTGCTGCTGCGTGAGAGGCTGCTGCTGGATTGGAGGCTGCTGCTGGATTGGAGGCTGCTGCTGGATGGGAGGTTGCTGCTGCATGATAGGCTGCTGCTGGGTGGGAAGCTGCTGTTGCATGAATGGCTGCTGTTGTGGGTGTGGCTGCTGTTGTGAGGGCAGCGGTTGCTGCTGAGGTGGCGGCGCATTGCTAACGGCAGGAGCAGGATGTCCCATTTGAGCCGCGAGGTCTGACTGTGGGTCATGGTGTGAATCGAATGTTGAGGGTTGAGGAGAGGATGTGCGGAATGCAGGGTTCATGGTGCGCTGGAACTGGGCTACCGAATAGCCGTCGGCTTCGTCTATATCAGAGCTCGAGTCGTCGTCCTTGGCAAAGTTGATGAATCGGGGAGGATCTGGGATCTCCTGGCCAGTTCCTTGGTCCTTGATGAAGAAAATAATATCCTTCTCCACTTCACAGTTCTCCAAGGACAGACGGACTTTCTCGCATGACTATATATCGAATTAGTATTGAAATCAAGCCCGGGCAGAATAAACATACGGCATCGTCGCTGACACAAACAGTTGAAGCAATGTTCGCGTAGGTCCACAGACTGCTCTTTGTGAAGTCGAGACGCTCTTCTTCCAAATCTTGAAATTTATCGCATGCTGACTTCCACTCCTTATTCCAGCGTCCAGTTGTCTCCTCGAGCTGTTTGACAGCCGCTTCGTATTCCTGGCTATTTGATGCTAACTGGATCTGGGTCTTCTCCAGCTTGAGTTTGTTCTTGCGCTCTTCCTGGCCCATGACCATATGACCCTGCGCGAGGTATCCCTTGATGCGGAGACAGTCCTGCTCATAACGATCACGCGTCTGTAGAATCAGTATTTTACCTCTTACCACTCCATGGAATTACTCACTTTGTTGACAAGCTGTGTCTGTTGCATTTTGGTCTTGTGTAAGCGCTCAATGCACTGTTGAATAATTTTTCGTCGCTCCTTAATACCACTAGCAAAAGCAGCAAGTGGCTCCTCCAATTCGGTCTTCATTTGTCCCGCGATAGCGGCGTGTGCCTTAGCGATGGCTTCAGTTTCCCCGCGGACCACGTCGAGTGAGGCTCGGAGCGACCCTATCTCGCGTGATCCCAGCGACTTGCGACACAGAGCTTGGAGTTTCCGCGCGTATTCATCTTCGATAGAGGCTCGAACTATAATGGTCTTAGAATTCGATTTTATCGCGGTCGCATGCATGTCACGTACTGCTGTAGAAAACCTTCAGTTCGTCGTTTGTAATCTTTGAACCATGAACACGGTCCAACATTGGTTGAAGTCCTGCGTCATCTTTGCCCCAAAAGTTGTTGGCAACTAGAATAATTGTCAGTGCGTGCAAGGATAATTAGTGTAGTACCACATACAAGACATGGAGACCGTAGGTCCATCTGCCACTGTCCCCGGCATTGTTATCAATTTTGAGCCTCGGCCAGCGTTTGCGCATACAATCGATGTGCGTTGAAATCACAAGTCCAAAGAAAAGAATAATAACAATACTAAAAAAATTTTTCAAAAGGATGTAACAACACAAAAGACCATTGGAGGTCACAAGTGTCCAAGTTGAATATGAGCAGAGGGATGTGCTGTGCTGTTTACGGCCGCGTCTCTCGGGGCAACCACCGCGCGGCGGGCCATGCACCGCGTTACATAAGCTCTTTATCTGTCCACGGGTGGACCAGACCCGTGGACCTGTGGACCCGAATATGGAGCTTTATACGTATCAACCATTTCAATGGTCATTTGGTTCTCTAGGTACGATACCTATGAAATCCATGTATGTTGATCTTGGTATTCGATATAAAACACAACTTGATCCCGCGAACGGTGGCCTGGAACGGCTTCTTATTGTAGCTTGGTGCTTTTCATGTGATATCGAGGACATTTCGGAACTTATGAGGGTTTCTTGGTCTCATCATTAAGAGATATATATTTCTGGCTCATAGCAGCTTATCTTTCAATACTATGGTGATGAATGAATGCCGCCGGCTGCCGTACATGTAGTCGACACCTACAAGGATGTTTGGGTGGCAACCGGCTATCTACGCCGAGAACGTAGCACATAGCCAACACCAAGGTTGAAGCATTGTCTAGACAGAAGAAGACATCACAATCACGAAATTAAGTCCAATTGTGCACAGATCACATTGCCATACTAGCTCTCTTCAGTGATGTAATAATAGCATCTATCACCGTGTTAAAAATGATCGAGCTTCACTCTCCAGTCCGACTATCTTAAGGGAATCCTTCCAGAGACGGTCCTCTTCCTCAGGGTTATATGTTTGTTTCACCCATCCAGCGCCAAAAGTTTGGCCATCGTCCTGACCACGATCCGCTTCCTTGCAGTCCTCGAGATACTTGCCACCCTTTGCCTCCCACTCCTTGCCCACAGCCGCCCACACCGTTGTAGCCGCCCCCTGCTGGGAAGACTTCAATATTTTCAGAATGTAGGGGTTGGTTATGATAGCCTCTAAGCACTCCGGAGGCATATTGCGGGATATATCAGTGTTGATCGCGCCGGGGTGGAGACTGGTAGCATGTAGTCCCTGGGAACCATATAACCGCTCGATGGTGTTGGCCAAATATACCGCTGCTAGCTTAGAGTTGTTGTACGCAATTTCGTGGTTATACCCGCCCTTTTCGAAGTTGTAGTTGTCGTTATTCGGGAGGGTGGCAGCTCGGTGGGCAGATGAAGCCACGACCACGACCCGTGAATTAAGCTCTGGAGTCACACTAGCTAACAAAGCTTCCTTCAGAAGCTGGAAGAGGAGGAAGAATCCCAAATAGTTTCCGGCGAATTGCGCCTCAATGTCATCTTCGGTGAGCATGTGGTTCTGGATGCCCATGACACCCGCGCTGTTGATAAGAATGTTGACCTGGCCCTTGGAGGCGGCCAGGATTTCTTTGGCTCCGGCACGAATACTCGCAAAGGAGTCCAGATCCAAGTCGATCAGCGAGACTCGGCCGGGTTCCAGAATCCCGGCGAGGTTCTTCTCGGCCTTAGATCGGTTTCGGGCTGTGAGGAGTAGAGTGGCCCCGGTAGCCGACAAGGCACGAGCTGTCTCGACACCAATACCTGATGTAGCTCCAGTGATGACAACAATCTTGCCGGCCAGCTTGCTTTCGACGCCCTCATCTTGGATGATTTGAAGGGCTGTTGGTCGTGCATCTCCGGCGCCTTGAGGGTCGAGATGCGCGGTAGCGTAGGGGCCCAATGAGCCCATATTGAGAAGCAGAGGTAAAGACTTTCAGATAAATATCAAGGAATACTGTCTTTGGATGAATGGACAATGATGGCTACTTATGTGCGTCCATTCTCTGTATAGTTCGGCCTTCGGTTTCTCCGTCCATGGCCGATGTCCGCGGTTTGCCATGATTTGCGACCACCGCGGGCACAAGCGGCCGCAGATGCGGCCGCAAATGATCTGGTCGTCTCCACCTAATTTCCGCCCGTCGTCCACCCGTATTCTGCGGTCATCTTTCCGCACTTAGTCTCCCGTTGTTGCGGCCGTCAAAGCCCGCCAGAAACCGAACTGCGTCCACCTTCTACCGTCACCATGCAGACCCCCAGCCATGAATCCAGCCTCGACCTAGCGCCGCAGTCCTGCCAATCCTGCAGGTCGCGCAAGAGGAAATGCGACAAGGCACTACCCAGATGCTCACTCTGCGCTAAGTAAGCACGAAAGATTACGTTACAGCAGCAGAGCTAACGCAAGACAACGCAGACGCAATCGAAATTGTGAATATAGGAGACCAGAGGCGCTCAGTCACTCGGCTACCGCTTTAAGCCTGGAGCGAGGATGCTACCCCGCTCCCCTAGAAGAGCAGGCAGATGTTCAGACTATTGACTTTCCGACCATCTTGTTTCTTGATCCCGCTCTACTACAGCACGGCGTAGTGGAGACTTCACATACGGCAGGGACTGTCCCGCAGTATATTTTACAACTACTAGGCGATTTGGATGAAATCCAGCTCACGGCAACGCGGTTTTTCGAGCATATTCATCTCTGGATGCCGTTCATCTCGAAGAAGCGGTTCTACGACTTGTACCTGCAGCCTTCACTCCACTCGCGGCCCGATGTTGTTCTCCTTTTATTGGCACTGAAGCTCATCACTACCTTCCCGTCGGCTGGGTCTCGTAGTCCCCGGACAGCCTTGTATAACTCAACTAAACATTATTATCTAGAAGTGGAAAGGTCTTTCTCTATTTTAGTACTACAAGCTGGAGTTCTTGTTGCTCTTTATGAACTAGGACACGGGATCTACCCGGCCGCATTCCTGTCGATCGGGACCTGTGCGAGGTATGCCCATGCCTTAGGTATTAATGTCAGTCGCACGGTGCCGACTAGGAGAGTGCTCACTTTGGTGGAGGTTGAGGAGCGACGGAGAGTCTGGTGGGCTATTGTCATTTTAGACCGGTTCGTCGCTGTTCACCGTGAGTCCTTTAATTTGGATACTAATAACAAAAAGCTTTGTGAGCATCGGCTGTCCAGGACGGCCCTTTGCAACTGCAGATCCAAAATTGGATGATTTTTTACCGGCCGATGATGCTGCATGGGACCAGGGGGTATGTCAATTCGTGGCCTCTGTCTTTTACCTGCTGATCTTTAAATTAGACTGTCAAACCCGATAGGTTCTCAACTCTCTCGTCCCCAATGACGGGGCATATGAGTAAATTTGCTCTGCTCTGTCAAGCCGCTAGGCTATTAGGCCAAGTTCTTCATCACCTCTCAACCGACTTCACTAGCGACGATAATGTTTGGATACAGCTCGATCGTACCCTGCAGTCAATGCTGGCCGCTGCATTGAATATTGACTGCCCGGACTATGATCAAATCACTTTTGTGTACAGGTTAGTACTACAATCACCACCCTTTATCTTGTACATGCTTTTACATCAAACTTAGTGCCCTAGTCGCCCTATACACACCCTGGCTATCATCCGATGCAGTTCAAGAAACCGACACTCATCGTTCACGGCGAGCGAAGGTTATCCTTCAACAAATCACGGAGCGTATAAGTGCAAATTTAATCGAGCGACAATGCTTCTTAGGTCGGGATCCAGAGGATATGTCCCCGTGGGGTCTGTATTTTGCCTATCGTATCTGTGGAGCCCATATGAGGACCAGCAGTAAAGCACCGCATGACCTTGAGGTGGTGAGGAGCCTGCGTGAGGGGTTCATGAGTATTGATATCCGGTGGAATGTTGCGGGTGTTTATCTGCAGCTATTGGAGGCCCAGGAGGCTATCAATTTGGAGGCGTGAGTGTGGTGTGATCTATATGTTGCATTCAATTATGTTCACATGTTCCTATGCAATTATGAACAGTGCGACTATGTTTTCCATCGACCAAGCGATAGACAGACCAGAATAGACAACTCTCAGTGGCAACTAAAATCTACATAAGCGCCCATTTCCGTCTTCATCCGACCGGTCACTTCCCACTCCCGTCTTCATACAATAAATGCTGAGGGTCGTACTTGTTCTCGATACCCAGCAGTCTCTCTCCATGACTTTTTGACTTTGATTCGCTGTTCGAAGAAAAGATCTCGGTTGTGTTTGAAGACATTCATTTTCCTAAGCCGTCTTCTTCCCAGTCTTCTTCCCGATTCACTTAATCCTCCAACGATATTATAGGGCAACCAAGCTTATCGTCTGTAACCTATTCGTTACCAACTGGGAGTGGGTACATATGTATGTTGAAGAGGTCGCTACAGATAGTAATCTTCTACCATCTTCCTATCGTCAACAGTCAAACGTATTTACGTTACGCCAGATAGATATTCCTCCTTCGTTATAAGATACGATAGACTAGGTGATATCTCGATATCAATTAAGTGAATCGAGAAGAACCTTGGAAGACTAGGAAGAAGATGAAAGCTAAATATCTTTTCTTCAAATGGCCGAGTGAAAGTCAAACCTTGGAAGTCATTCGACTGTCAAAAGTCATAATCCCATCATCACTACGGAGTCGACTGTTATTGCCTTCCATGTCGGAAATACAAGAGGCGCTCTTTCAAACCCTAGTCACATGATAGGCTAATCCATGGCTACAGCGTATTTAACGGCCTGCTCGGAGGCTGATAGTGCTAAACGAGCAAAAGACCGGACAAATTGTTACACCTATACACCCCAAAAAATAAAATCAAGGCACCGTGACATCACAATGACGTCGTTCCCACTCAAGCGTCCCTCCCCAGCCGTCCCAACTCACCGCTCGACGGCACGAAAGCTCGATCCCTGGCGTCGTGAGCAATCCATCTCAACTTGCCAAGGTAGAGAAGTGTAGTGAGCGTTCTATCACCAATATACGCAAGGATACATGTGTGTTCGGCAGTCCCAGATCTCCCCTCCCTGGCATCAGTGGTAAAATGTTCGATCACCCCTAGTCGTACATACAGTATGAATAATCCGCCTCGTGTTCTTGATGTTAACTGGACAGTCTTGCCCTCTGCACTGTTCTCCGCATCATCCAAGCCTATCATAAGCCCAACGATTTCTGTGACTCACATTTAACTCTATGGCTGGTCCGTGCCAGCCCTATGTGAAGCATCATCGACACAGTCTCTTCCCTTGTCATCATCTGTAGTGTTCGGCATTTTTCATTCGGGTTGACCTCTTGTAATTCACTTTCATTGATATCTGCTCTCTATATTTCTTTTCAACAGAAACCCTAAGCTTGTCTCAGAACCAACCATACCATGGCTGGCTCTAGCTCACTCTCCATCACCTACGTGCCCGCAGATTGTGGCTCTATCATCCCAGGCAAATCCAAAGCACCCAAAGCCTTTCAAGACGTGAGCATCGCCAGCAAGCTGAGGGACGCAGGTCTCGCGTTCGTCTCAGAGCACCACCCACTAGACTCGCCCGCGACTTACGCAGCAACAACCTTCGCTCCAGGAAGCGTTCGCAACGAAGAATTGAACATCTCGGTCTGCCAACAGGTCCGTCACACCATTGCACAAAACCTCAAGTCGGCCGTCACCCAACCCCCATTCCAACTCATCCTTGGCGGCGAGTGCTGCATGTCCCCAGCCATCCTCTCCGCCTTCTGGCAGCACGCAGACTCCCAGGCACCGCCCTTACGCGTTGGCCTCATCTATATCGATGCCGACACTGACCTTGCCTCTCCGACTGACCCCGGCTCTACGGGGAACCTTGCAGGTATGAACATGACGCACCTTATCCGGTCTCCCGGTGCACTACCGAGCATGGAGCAGTTCTCACGCCCTTCCGGTGAGCCACTCTGTGACGCCTCCAACACCGTCCTTTTCAGCATCAACATGTCCTACTCAGGAAACAAGGAGGGGCACTTCAGGTACCTCTTTGACAACAACTACAAGGTTGTCAGCTCGGCTTCCGTGGCACATGGGCCTGAGCAGCGCGCGGAGGAAGCCTTACAGTATCTAGAGAGTAGGGTCGAGATCATCATGGTGCATCTAGACGTCGATGCCATCGATCCGTTGCTTTTTCCGCTAGCGAATTTGCCGAACTTCACGGGAGTGACATTTGAGCAGATGATGCGGGCATTGAAGGTTCTTTTGGCTAGTGAGAGGGTGGGAGGATTGACGGTCGCCGAGGTCAATCCGGATCACGATCCTGGGCTCCAGATGGTGGAGAGGCTGACAGATCAGATTGTGGAGATGCTAGGGGCGAGAGGCGTGAGAAAGGCGAGTGGAGTCAAAAAATAAAGGAGAGAAGAGCTCACATAAGGAGTGAAATCGCATGAGATGGACGTAGACTATCAATGGGGACGCAGGTGAGGGAGCAGCTGTGAGAATACTGCATGTACATGGTAAACGACTATATGGTAAACGGCCATGAGCGAAGGGTATGCGCTATGGCGAAGATGGAATGGTGGGCGATCCAAGAACCTGCGCCTTGTTTGTTCCGTTTGTGTGGATCAAGCGACTTCCGGATCACCTTTGATCGGGGAAGACTGGCGCTCCTACAATATTTTTGGACAGCTTCAGCTTAGTGACGGGGAGCAGATCACATAGCACCACGACTTGCACGATACTCAGCAGACCGATACCTGGACTGATGGAGCCAAGTGTATACTCATGCCCTGGACACGATCCTTCTGTCGTCCGGCATCATTCTTTGCTTTCATGCAATCTTTCTCTCTATGACTGCACATGTTGCATTTTCTATTCGTTCGGGATCGACCGTCAGCTATTTTTATGTTACTGCTTCTTACGCCGTGGCGGGCTTCTGCTTTTATTTCTTACTTTTTATTTCTTGCTTCCTAGACACCAATGACGACGTCTAGCCTTCGAAATTGTGGGAAAGATGTATTTCATAACAGGAGAATTAAGTATGATATGGGAAATATTGTCATAAAAGTATTCATTGCATTTTGTTATTCTCGGTGCATCGTGCAATCATTCTATGTAATTCGGGGACCCATCAAATATTCAAATCCAGTCTATGCAGGCCAAGCCAACGCGGAAACAACCCAAGCCCATGTCCACAAAAAGTAAAAGACACATGAAGAATTGCAGTCATTTCAAAATCGCTCCCGGAAAAACGCCAGTCAAATATGCATCCCCAAAGCCGGAATGGGGATATATCAAGTCATTCGCAATCTTCTATTTTCATTGTTGCAATCATATCGTGCCATAAATCAAGGATTCCATCAGTTCATGGAGCCTTGCTCGTGGCCCTTTGGAGGAAGCTAAATCCGTTGTCTCATTTCGTCTCTCTTAGTAGGCCACAGGAGTAGCCGACGCCGCGAAGGTGCTGCAGGCAGGCGAAGAGACACTGGAAGAGCCCCAGCTGCGGACACCACGGGCCACAAGAGGGGAAGAGGCAGGTGTGGCAACAGAGGAAGCACTAGGGACGGAAGAGTACCAGCCATATTGGCCGCGGGCAGCTAGAGGGGCAGCTGAAGTAGGGACGCTCGAGCTGGAGGGAGTGCCGGAGGGAGACACATAGAAGCCGCGGGCCACAAGGGGAGTTGCCGAGACAGAGGGGGTAGCAACAGAGGAGTACCAGCCACGAGCCACGAGGGGAGTGGCAGTGACGGAAGCGCTCAGGCTGGAAGAAGAGGGTGAAACTGAAGCGGAAGAGTACCAATCACCGAAGCCGCGAGCCACGAGGGAAGTAGGCGAAGCGGTAGGGCTGGCAATAGAAGGAGTACCAGAAGCAGAAGAGTACCAGCCACGAGCATAGAGAGACTCGGCAGCAGAGGCGGTGGGGTACTCCCTGGCGTACAGCGAAGCAGAAGAGCTAGAGTACTCGCGAGCAAAGAGAGCAGGCTGACCAGCGGCTCTCAGGCCCCGGCGGAAGAAAGAGGAAGAGCCAGGGGTTGGAAGTAGACTAAGGATCTCCAAGCATGGAGTAGAGCTAGCCACAGCAGTCGAGGAAGGGGGCACGCTCGAAGGGGTAGCAGTCACAGTCACAGTGCTGGGCACTGGGTTGGCACCAGGAGCAGTGACTGTGGAAGTTTTGAAGACAGTGTCGACTTCGGGTGCAACAGAGCTGGAAGAGGAGTCTTCATCAGCATTGACCACGGAGTAGGTTGCGCGGCGAGCGAGGTCTTCGTTTCCGGGATTGGCGAAAGGCGCCGCGTAGGTCACGCTGATAGAGCAAAGGGCGACGAGCGCAGCAGAAGAGAAATACATGATGACAGGGGCAATTGAAGCCTGCAATAATAATTGAAAGGAGAAAGGCGCTTGAAATTGAAGACCCAAATGTAAACAAGGGAACGGGGATACGAGCGATGTTGGTAGAGATTTGGATGGAAGATGGAGAATTGAAAATGAAAGAGAAGGACTCAAGTCCAGGTTTAAAAGTCATACGAAAAAGATCTACTATCACGGTGAAGTGTACCTCTATTGGGCCAAAAATAGGCGGCTGGGATCGACGGTGGCTGGGTTAGCTGCAGTCCAGCCAGGCTTTATGTTTTTAATTTATTTTTAATTGGCTTCTATAGATGTTGATTGGGTGGAGCTAGATCTATTGAACCCACATGGCCCATCTGCCAACCACGATCCATGATGTTGTGGTGGGGTTTCCACGGTGACATTAAGTAAGCAATTGGTGTGGCTGGGGGCTCCACTGTGACACGACTGACATGGTATATTTCGTTTCACTGTCGCCTAGTTTCTTTTCATAGATCAACTATGATGTCTCCATGACCCTGATCGACAGGACGATCTAGGCAGATATGTAGTTTCATCAACACACCTGTCCTGATCGCCACCGGCTAGATGGCAAGATCTTCCACTCTCACCAATCCACACCCCAGCGCCGCGCTGGCCCATGCTGCACAAGGGCGGTTGGGGTTCCACCCGAGGGCTGTGACGTGGGTGTTTTCTTCGAAGATCGTCGACGTCCCCATTCCATTGACTGGGTTTGTCTCGAACAGCTTGTACTTTGCCAGCTTCTGGTTCTCTGCCCGGTATCCGTCATGAAACCGACTGGTTCCCATAGTGTCCGTCTTGGAGGTGCGAATCCATTCATGTGTGAACCATATCTGCTGCCAGATTTGCTCCTTGTTGTAAACAACTCGTCGGAAGGGATTTGTTCCTACGACTTCACCCGCGGCACTGCCAAACAGCGCACAGGGGTGGTGATTGCTACACTGCGCCATGGCCGAAATGGTGCTGCTGAGCCGCGCAATGGTGGTGGTAGTAAAAAACCGTCGGATTGGAATTACGCGCGCGAATTCGTTTTCATCCCCGGCAACAACGGACTGGCAGATGGGAGAATAGCTGATGAAGGGAGAGGCCCCTCGCATGCGGCCCGTCGAGGCCATTTCACTGGTGGGATCGAGGACCGACCACATCCGCGTTTCACCGTCCATAGAAATAGTGATGACCAGTTGGGGATGGACCGGGTATGCTGATGTGATACTGAGTACGTAGGTGGCGTGGAGTGGCCGATAGAAATAAGGTAGAAGTTCAGACGCGGAGGAAGGTCCGATGTTCCAGATAGCCACGAAGCCGTTACCGCATCCCACTACAAGGTCACTAGGGGATAGCCAAGTGACACAAGTGCAGACTGTTGATGGCGGTCTTGCCTCAAACGCAGGCGATTCGATTTTGACTATATCTTGTACATTAGCGGTACTCGTGAAAATCACTCCAAAGGGACACGCACGAAATTCTGTTTCCTGTGACCCTCTACCTGTTTTTATATCCAAAACTCTGACATATCCATCCCCCCAGACTGTTGCAAGTAAACCAATGGATTCATTTTCTTCTTCTTTGTCCTCTGCTCGTTCGGTCCGGGGCAAAGTACACCATACCATGCGTCTCAGGTCCCCCCAGTCAGCACACAAGACTTGTCGAAGCCGGGGCTTGGAGTCCATATCGAGGGTCATTGTAGGAGTGTCACTCGGTTTGCCTTTGAACTCCCAAATCTGCAGAGCGCTAGGGAAAGGCTCCGAGGGTTGAAATGATGAGATAGGCTCACTATCTTCGGATTTGTATTGGTTTTTCTGATCTTCTGTAATCGGCACCGCCACAGCAAGATACTGGGCCAGGCCATTCTGGTTTGGAGCCCAACTCATGCAATGTGCCTTGTGACCGATGTTTAACATCCAACCTTCCCGAATCCTTTTGGCCCCAGTTCCTGATTCGTCTGCTTTGGAGCCTGGTTCCTCCCAGGCGTCTCCAAAGTCAAAAGATTCATGATAGCCCAGTTCGAAGAGCCGTTGATTATCATGCGGTCCGAGTAAAATTCCATGTTTTCGCGTGTTTGGTTGAGGCAGGTAATTTTGGAAAGCCACTGACTCTTCGATCGTCTCAATGCGCTGTCTTTTTCGGAACCTTTCACCAATGTCCCGGTCATAGTACCAGTCCCACCCACGGGTGCTTTCTTTCACAACATCATCTGGGTGAACCCCAAATGTGGGCCCGTATAGATACTCAGGCTTCTTCTCCCTCTCCTCCAGGGTGAAGCGAGAGGGAAAGACAGCATCTATACCCTTGTTCCATCGCATTCGGAAGTGGACTGCTGGCATCAGATCTCGATCGTCGGAACCGAAAGTGAGAGTGTAATAGGTGCCTTTAGACAAATGATCTCTGGGCTCAATGATGCCACGAATGTGTGTCTCTTCATCTGATGGCACAACTGTACCATCAGCTCTTCGCTTCTTGGCGCTCCCATCGTGTTGGCACGGCATAGAACGCCCTTTCCTAGGAGTATTCTCGATGCTGTCGATCTCCATTTCTTCGAAGTCAGAGGCATCGGCTTCTGGTCCGAATTCCTCTTCTATTTCTTCTTCGGAATCGCCTTCTTGTTCCTCCTCTTCCTCAATTCCCTCACCAGCTTCTTCGCCTGAGCCAGCAACAAATTCATTGTCTGAGGCTGAATCTTCTGTCGAGGCGCGCTTCTTTTTCCCCTTGCGAGAGCTTTCCAGGTTGATGGAGTCCTCATCATCACTGATCCCAGCTGCCTTGAATGGATCGTCGACGTACACTGCCCTGGGACCTTTCAAGCGGCCAGACCTGCGGCCGGAAGAAGGCATGTTGCTTAGAAAGGTCGCGTCGTTAATGACAGCCAATAACAGTAGTGTCCATGTGTAAAGTGTGCCAGACTTTCCAAAGCTCAGTAAGACAAGTCCGAGCAATGCAGCTGTGGTCTTGTGTATTGAGATGTCCACTATTTGATTTGAGAAATAGAGAAGCTTCAGCAATACACGAAGGTCAAGGGCGGTGACGTTAGTCCCAATATGGCTAGCTTTCTTGCCTTGGATTTCAGGCGCCAACGTAGTTAACGTATTTCACTACAAACTCTCATCTTAACGTATTCGGTAGGCGAGTCGGCAATGTAAGCCAGCCGGCTACCCCAAAACACATTGTAAATGCCATATCTTCTACACTTGTATCTCCACAACCACGTTCTTGTTTGATTCTATTACCGCTCGATAGCTGTTGATAAGAAGGCTTATTAATACTGTATGTTAATTTGAAGGAAATGAGAAAGCTATAATGTTACGGTATGGAAAATTACGTGACTATGAGCTAGAAATATATATCTTCATCACTAAGGTATTAGAACTCCCTAAATTCCCTAAAGGGGCTAGATATCATCTAAAAAGTATCATGCTAAGAAAAACTCCCTATAGGCCACCGTCGTTGAGATATCGAGTCGCATTTTACTATGTGTTTTAGGGTGGCCGGCTGGCTTACATGGCCGACTCGCCTACCGAATACGTTAACTAGTTAACCAACTCGACATCCCTCCCGAGGTCATTTTAGTCAAAACGAATTAATATTGCAATTCTGAATGGCTCCAGATCTATCTATCCAGATTCCTTAGCTGTTTGTCACTAGGTACCGAAGATCGAGACTCACCGACAATTCACCTGACCAGAATCCCTTCCTAATGACACCAGTTCCTTGAGTATCCCATTAGATCAGGATTTTCCAACGAACTGTGATTTTATATCCAGGCTACCCGATGTGGTGTGTCAAACTACATATGTATTTACGTACTACCTTCCTATTCCAGAGACTCGATGACCTCATATGCTACACCAGCCTGGAAGTTTTATGGCTCTTGTGTCTTTGTGGAAACTGAGATTATATCAACATCTGACAGCGGTGAACGAGTTCAAAAACTGACTTTTCTACAGTTTGATAACCGTCAAGTTACATCGCTGTCTGACCGCCAGAATCATATGTCACTTTGTCATTGTAACAGAGATTGTCCGGGATGCTACAGCATGACTGTCCCCAACAGATCTACGAGCAAAATGCGATACATCGAGAAAGGATGAGTGGAGTAAATGCACATGGTATGGTATTATACAACAGAGAATTGGAGTGGCGGACGCTCTTTGTCCTAAATCAATGGCGCATCTAGGCTCTTTCTGTCAGGCTACGAGCTCTCAGGAATCAGTTCTAAGAGGATCTCGTCCAGATGCCTATGAATCGTGAAGTGCGTGTCGGCTTCGAACACTTTGAAGGATGGGCTGTTAGAAAGAAGCTTGACATAGTATTCGGTCATAGGAAGCGGCGAATTCCAATCTTTCCCTGCATGCCAGATGTGGAGGTTGTTGTAAGTAATGTCGCCAAACTCAATGCCCCAGTCTTGTGACAATAGCTTCGCCTCGTATACAGCGGGGCCAGCGCCCTGTGCAAACGGCTCAAATAAGACGCGCAGCAATTGTGCTCTTCGTTCCTCAACCGATTCGTCATGTTGGTCCTGGTCCTTTAGCAGGTAGTCATCGATTCTCCGAGTTGCCATTTGTGTATTCAGCCCATTTCTAAGCATCCACACCACAAAGGCCAACGGACCCCGTAGTCCAGCCGGCCAGTGTTCCGCCGCTAGCATTGACACACGATAGATCCAAGGCATATGATGAGCCCCGGCCTTCCAATTACCCGCTCCGGCAAATATACCGACTGCGGACATCATGTCTTGAGGAAGCAACCGCGCGCACGCTAAAGCATAGGGCCCACCACCGGAGCCGCCCATGATTGCAAAACGGGAGAGGCTAAGATGGTGAGCCAGTGCCTGAACATCGGCAGGCCAGTCCATGATGCGCCGGTTAGGTTGGACTGTGGAGAGGCCGAAGCCTGGGCGCTCTGGAGCAATCACACGTATTCCGCGCTGGCGAAAAATATGGTTTAAAGCAGAGGCCTCAAGGCGACATTGGGGATAGCCATGC